TAGTCTCAGTGATTCACCAGGCTCTATCAGACCAGCAAACCTGGTCCCTTCCCCTCCCCCCAAATGATTTTGAGTTTTGTTCCACATTGTTCTGCTTCTCTATCCAGGATCTCCTATATAGATTCCCTCCGAGTGGTTGACAATGGTAGCTGGGCACCATCTAGTTCTTCTGGTCTCATAGTCATATAGACTGCAGATCGCATGGTGTACTCGTCACTAGGACCAGTTGTTTCCATGAATCTTTGGTTTTCTTCATTCTTTTTTTGCTCTGGATGAGGTCAGATCCATTATTGCATCTAGATGGCTGCCTGCAAGCTTTTAAGATCTCCATCGCTACTTGCCAAAGTAGGAGGTGGAACAATGTTTTGTGTAGTATGTTATGCCAATTGAGCTTGATGTCCCCTGCACCTATGGTCCCGAGCCCACAGGTTCAACTATTCACTCCCTCTGGGTAGCTGGCTGGGACCAAGAAGTGATTACAACTTTGTCACTTGTCAGCTCTACTATACATCTGGGAATTCTTACAGAACATACAAATACACTTGTAGAACCATTGTCTGCCAACCCTATACCTGGTTTTGGGTACACTCCCTGCTGCACAGACATACCTAATAGTTCAGCCTGTCCACCCATCTATCCACTTGCATATCCATGTTTGCCTTCATTGACAACACAGTACTATATGTGCAAAAGTGTTCACGTTTGTTGTCTGCACCTCCCATGTATCTCTCTCTGTCTTTCTCTGCCTGAATGCCACCATGGTGATCATTCACATTTGGTACACTGCCCTTCTCTTCATCCAAATCAATACTTATCTCTACCTACCTAACAGTGTTCCCTTCCCTATCCTCCCATGCCTGGTAATCAACAAAGAAAATTTTCTTCCATAGATAAACCTTTCCTTGACTTTTACAATTAATGGACTAATACAGTATTTGTCCTTCTGTGATTGACTTATTTCACTTAGCATCATGTCCTCCAAGTTCATCCATGTTATGCCATGTTTTGCAGATTCTAAGTTATTCTTTAAGGTTGCATGGTATTCCATCGTATGTATGTACCATAGTTTGGTTATCCATTCCTCAGTTGATGGACACCTAGGTTGTTTCCATCTTTTGGCTATTGTAAATATTGCTGCAATGAACATGGGTGTGTGTATATCTGTTCTTGTCATGGCTCCCACATCTTTAGGATATATACCTAGTAATGGAATGGCTGGGTCAAAAGGTATTTCTAATCCCAACTTTTTAAGGAATCGCCATACTGCTTTCCACAGTGGTTGTACCATTTTACAGTCCCACCAGCAGTATATGAGAGTCCCAATCTCTCTGCATCCTCATCAGCATTTGTTATTTTCTGTCTTGTTGAACCTTGCTACTAGTGCTGGTGCCAGATGGTATCTCATGGTTGTTTTGATTTGCATCTCTCTAATGGCTAATGATTGTGAGCATTTCCTTCATGTTTGTTGGCCGCCTGAATATCCTCCTTGGTGAAGTGTCAATTCATGTCTTCTCCCCATTTTTTTCAATTGGATTACTAATCTTTTTGCTGTTGAGGTGTTAGAGTTTTCTATAAATTCTAGAGATAAGTGCCTTGTCACATAAGTCATTGCCAAATATTTTTTCCCAATCTGTAGGCTCTTTTTTGACTCTTTTGGAGAAGTCTTTGGAAGCACATAAAAATGTAATTTTTAGAAGGTCCCATTCATCTAGTTTCTCTTCTACTGTTTATGCATCTTGGGTTATGCTTTATAGTCTATTTATGCCATTTATCAGGGCCCCTAAATTTGCCCCTAGTTTTTCCTTGAGGAACTTTATAGTTTTAGGTTTCACATTTAACTCTTTGATCCATCTGGAGTTAGTTTTTGTGTATAGTGTGATGTACAGATCTTGTTTCATTTTTCTGCAAGTGGATATCCAGTTTTGCCAGCACCATTTATTAAACATGCTCTTCCCGATTTAATGGATTTTGGCCTTTTGTCAAAGATTAACTAACCATAGGTCGATTGATCCATTTCTGGGTTCTCAGTTCTATTCCATTGGTCTATGTGTCTGTCTTTGTACCAAAACCAGGCAATTTTGACTTCTGTGGCTGTATAACAGGTTTTGAGATTCAGCAGTGTTAGACCTCCTCCTTTGTTCTTCTTCAATAGCGCTTTGCTAATCTGAGGTCTCTTTCCTTTCCATATAATGCTAGTGACTGGTTTTTCCATATCCTTAAAAAATGTTGATGGGATCTGGATTGAGATTGCATTGAATTTATAGATTGCTTTGGGTAGAATTGACATTTTCACAATGTTCAATCTTCCTATCCAAGAGCAAGGTATGTTCTTCCATTTATGTCAATCTCTTATGGTTTCTTGAAGTAGTATTTTATAGTTTTCTTTGTACAGGTCTTTTGTGTCCCTGGTAAGATTTATTGCCAAGTATTTTATTTATTTATTTCTGGTAGGTATTGTAAATGGCCAGAAGGCTGGCGGTTCAAACCTGCCAGCCACTCCTCGGTAGGAAGGTTGGGCAATCTACTTTTGTAGTGATATCACCTCACAAACTCAAAGAGGGGTTGCTATTAGGCGGGCCTGACTCTATGGCAAACAACAACAACAACACTGTATATGGTATTGATTTCCTTATTTCTTTTTCAGAAATCTTTTTGCTGGTATAGAGAATTCCAACTGATTTTTGGATGTTGGTCTTGTATCCTGCCATGATGGTAAATCTCTCAATTAGTTCCAGTAGATTTTTGACTGAGTCTCTTGGATTTTATAGGTATAGGATCATATCATCAGCAAATAGAGATAGTTTGACTTCTTATATCTACCATTTTTTTAAAAGTCAAAAGTATATCACTCCTCCTTGAGTCAATTTTAGACATTTATATTTTCCTAGGAAATTCTCCATTTATTTTATATTGATAAAACATCAATTTTTATTTATTTTCAATATTTTACTAAGGAAAATTAATTCAGATTTGTAATTCATTGTTGTGGTTGTAGTTCAGTGCTCTTAGTTACTTCCTACTGAGAGGAACCCTATGGAAAACAAAACCAAACACTGCCAGATCTTGTACCATTCTCAAAATGTTTAAGCCCACTGTTGCATTCACAGTGTAATCCATCTCAATGAGGGTTTTCCTCTGTTATGCTGATGATCTATTTTACCAAGTATAATGTCCTTCTCCAGAGACTGGACCCTCCTGATAAATTGTGCTAAGTAGGTGAGAGGAAGTCTCACCATCTTTGCTTCTAAGGAGCATCTTGCCTGTACTTCTTTCAAGTCCTGATGCTCCACTCTGGGATTTCTAATTGTTAGAGGACTGTCTGCAGTTGAATGACTCCTGAATGTTCTGTCAGGCAGGAAATGTAACATTTAATCCTCACAGCATAAAATTGAGTTTCCCTGCTAAATATCCTGAATGACTTTCCTGTATTTTGGAAACATTTTATGATATATCTCCCAAAATATGTGAACTTGTATATATGCATTAATATGATTAAATTAAAACTGAATACATTACCTTTCAAGTATTTATTCAAACATACATACACAGCTGTATTACACTTGGTGGTAGCACCAAGTGGATGAAACGACAATTTTTTGAAGATATCAAGAAATACTTAATGGGCTTTAAATTAAGTAGGATTTTGTCTCTAAAGTTTTTAACATCAAGGAAGTGGTAATAGGCAGATAGGAATGCATATTTGCTTCTTCTTCCTTACCTACATAAATTTATCTTTTGAGTTTCTTAATCAGCCTGAGGACAAGAGGCTTGACACCATGATCAAGACAGTGGTTCCCAAACTTGTCTGAATATTGCCATCAGATGAGGAGCTTCAAGAACAACTGATGCTTCTATCCCACCTGCCTCATCTTTCTCCTATGGAGTGGCTGGTGGGTTCAAACCACCAACCTTCTGGTTAGCAATTGAGCACTTAATCCCTGTGCCACCAGAGCTCCTCTACAAAATCACAAAGGGATTCTAATAGTAGACAAATCTGGGAATAACATTTTAAGATGATTTTCATTTTTATATAATTAAGAAAACTATCCAGACACATCCCAAATGTAAAACAGAGCCATTACTAGGGGTTAAAAACAAAACAACCAACCTAGAGAAAATAAAATGAAATATATGCCATTATAATAAGACATAAGTTTTAAAATTATGGCAAACTGGTCAATTTGTTATCAATTCTGGCAACAGTGAATTTCCCAGTTGTCTAGGTTTAAAAAGAGGTGCTCTATCTTCCATATGCCTTTGTGGTTTGATTGATGTTCTTCAAGTGTGTATATGAATGTATAGCCAGGGGTAAGGGAAAGAAATATTACAGATTTTTAATATTCTCTTGTTCCTATTCACTAGGGGTTATATAACTTAAGACCAGGAATCTATAGAGCTATAACTTTAAAGAAGTAATTTTAACCACCATTCAATTAAAGTTAGTACAATGACTTTGCATAATATACATGAAATAATTAGCGAAGATGGTTCTTAATTTAAAGGATGTTAAACAGCTTGTAGACATCTGGTAACAAGCTGAAATGGGTCATTCAAAATTTATCTAACTAAATTAAGGGGGGAAAACGTTTCTCCTCCCCGGTCGGCATGTCACAAGATAACTAAACCGACTTAGTAGGCTTGCCTGGGAATCCTTAGCTGTCAGTGGTGAATATGCAAAGGGCCAGCAAATTAAATCAACCTGCCAAACTGTCAATTTCAAGCCTCATGACTGCATGAAAATAGCATCACTGGAAGAAATCAAGCATTGCCTTCTTTTGGGCTTCCTGGCACCTATTCAAATACTCATGCAGTTGTGGCTAATTTTGCATGCAAATTTCAGTCAATAAGCTCAGAACAAGACCTCCCAAGATATTTCAAAGGATCTGACAGTATTTTTTCTGAATACCAAATCGACAGTAGTTGAAATTCAATCTCCATTTTCTTGTGCTTTACATATGCACAGTGTCCCCACCACAGAGCTAAGTTAATGAGCATCTTACCTGCTTTCACTCACATCCTCCCAGCTGTCCTTACTGAGGTTCTCAAACACATTGCTCATAACCTTGATGGAGTGATTGAGAACAGTGTGGTGGCAACCCACAGAGCACTTTTTCTTGGCGCCTTTAAATTTAACCTTGGTAGTGGTGGTTTTACAACTGTATTGTCCAGAACTCACTTCTGTGGCCATTTCAGCTTTGTCTGCTGAAGCCTGTGATTTTTCCACTGAACTGATCACCTCTTCATTTTCATTTCTCAGCCCATTAGCTTCTGCCACTTGTCTCCTTACGGAAGTGACTTCTCTCTCCAGCTCACTGATTTTCACCTGAAGTTCAGTTTTCTCTTTTTCAACATCTCTACTCCTCTTCAGTAGCTGTTCTATCTCTTGTTCTCTGGTTTCTGCTGCTTCTTCATGCTGTTTTAAGAGGGATTTCAGGAATTCATTTTCTTTCATTAATTTTTTATTCCCTTCTTTCAATTTTCTCGAACTTTTCTCAAAAGATTTTAGGCGATTTTCCAATTCAATTACCTAAACAGAAGGGTTGGACTTATTATTTTAAAAATGCAAGGCCATAATCTATTTTATTTTTATTATATTTCTAGGTTATGAAAATAAAATTACATTTAGCACAAGGACAAAAATTGAAAATAATTAATTTCTAAGTAACTCCAAAATAGTACAGATAAATACATTATAAAATGCAATAATACACCTGTTGAATAAAAGGCAAATGGTAAAAAAAAAAGTAAAAATTCTACACAAAGCCACACAGAACTCTAAGTACACTAATAAACTCTGCAGAGTTTTCTGAGATTATAAGTGTTTTGGCTACATATTTTATTCATTGTGAAAAAAACATGTTTTAATTTAATAAACAATGTCCATGTGTAGGTCATAGAAATGGTAACAAAACGCTCAACATTAAGGAATCTCAAAAACTATTTGGAAGGACATACATCTGCATAAATAAGTCTAATAAAGGATATGCTCTAAAAGCTATACATCTGAACACAGAGGAAAGAGGAATTCTAACTCTAGAAGTACAAAAATTTTATGGAGGACTTGATGTTTGATTCAGGGCTTCAAAAATGAGTAACAACTACTGTTTGTATATCTTACCATTTACAAAATAGTTTCATACACACACTTGGTCTCTTTTAATCACCTTAAAAACTTGTGCAGAAAGTACAACCAATAATTATCTCACCAGGAGAGGAAATGGAGTTTGAAAACTTAAATACCACATAGATGCAAACCTTTCCTGGTTTGAGTTAGGATTCAAAATCAGAATTTTGTGACCCTCCCATCATTCCAAAGACCATTTCAGGAAGAAGACTGATCAAGATCTACATAGAAAATGAACAATGAATTGGATCAAGAAAGAAAATACAAGGAATGTTCAATTATTGTGAAATAAGGGAATTTATTTTTTCCACTGGTTTGTAATGGATTGACAACAGATGTGTAAATAAAAGAACAACAAAAATAGCTTCATTTTAAATTTAAACAACCTGAAATAAATTAAGCTATCAAGAACAATGCATTTATCAAAATTTTTTCAGAAGAATCAATACACCAGCAAAAACAAACCAAAACCAAACTCGCTGCCGTTGAGTCAGATCTGACTCATAGCGACTCCTCCTTGGGTTTCTGAGGTGCTATCACTATGGAAGTAGATTGCCTAACCTTCTTCCTAGGAGCGGCTGGTGGGTTTGAATTGCCAGCCTTCTGATTAGCAGTCAAATCCCTTAGGCACTACGCTCAACAGCAGTGAGTTTGGAGTTTTGTTTTGTTTTGTTTTTAATATATCAACCAGGATAAAAAAAAATTGTAATGCATCTACCACTAAAGGACTGATAAACTATAGGGATTTAGATATTTACTTCTAAAACAAAATTCTTCAGAGGAAGAAACATTTTTGAGGTATTGACAACCAACAATTTTAAACAATAATATTCTAGAAATACGTAAGAGAAAACTTCTGCATTTTCTTAACACCTTCTAGCTTACAAGAGGGTTATTTATGATGATAAAGACACAGCTGTTTCCAAAAGTTAAATTTAAGTCACCTCTGATTTATTTCTCTAACTGTACCTATTGGCTGTTGTGTCCTGGGAACAGGGATGTTCTCCAACACACTATGAAGATTTGCACCTAAATTTAATCACTTCTATCTCACAATATGATATATGCATCTAGCATGGGACCTATGTTCTCATAAGGCCTACTCTTAGCCTAAAGTAGAGGATACGAGAAAGTTTGTGTCAGAGTATTGAAAGACTGTCTTTGAAAGAGAGGCTATTATTTCTTCTTCCTGGAAATACTTTATTGGAGGGCTAATTAGAGTGGCAAAAAAAAAAAAAAACCATGAACTCCAGCTGAATCTGTTTTACCTTTTTTGAATCACCCTATATCTAAATTTTACTCTCCATTTAGTAAAAAGAACTACAAATAAGGAATATCACTTTGTTATACTCTCAGAAAGACTCATTGGTTCTTTAATGTGTCTTTAATGATCACCCCAAATGGTATGCTTTTCATAACTAGATTTTAAAATGTTAGATTCCAGAATGAAATGGGGAGATGAGATGCTATGTTCTTAATATGTTTTGTACAGACAACTAATTATGATTACTTAAAAAATGATTATGACAATGGTGATATAAAAATATTAACAAGGAGCGTTGTGGTGTGGTTTAGGGAAAATAAACTTTTGAGTCAGGCCTGGATCTCACTTCCAATTCTGGCTGCTTTATCTAGCAAAATTATTCATTTATTTTACCTTCAGTTTCCTCGTCTGTAAAGGAAATAGTAATACCTACCTTGTAGTTTGTTGTATTAAATGTGATAATATACCACAATTCCTAGCAGACAGTAAGTACTAAACAACTTATTATCATCTCCATTATTAACATTATTATTAATCATAATGGCTAATTAATAAAACCACTTAAGCTAAAATATAATTATTTGAGTGACATTAGCCATTAAGTAAAATTTATATTTTTGGATTAAAATAAAACATAAAAAAATGTAACATTTTAAATTTGAGATTGGAATTCCCAAAATTACCACTTTCTCTCCCTTGGACTAAAGTCCACTTAAAGTTTAGACAGTGTCTAAGACACTTGCCTGCTCACCAGAAGGCTGGCGGTTCAAACCCACCAGCCACTCCTCGGAAGGAAGGTTGGGCAATCCTACTTCCGTAGTGATACTGCCTCGGAAACCCAA